TGTTGTTCTTGTGTGACAATGGTTGTTCTTGTTGTGTGACAATGGTTGATCTTGTTGTTTGAAATTGGTTGTGTGTGTTTTGCGTGACACTGCAGTATGATCATGTGTGTTAACTGTGTACACTCATTCACTCACTCACTCCAGACACAACACAGTAGTCATGATGGAGATGCAGGACACCATCAATGACCTTCAGCGAGAGTTGTCTACCCTTGGCAGGTCAGCCAAAAGATCAAGGTCAGCCACCCCAGTTCTTGCACAGGTAATTAGAGCTTACTTTTTACTTTATTGGAAGCCGTCACTGTTCAACTATTTTTGAAGTGATAGATCCACAAGAGGTTTCTACAGCCATTAGATATGGTTTCACTCTGTCACAATTCATGGAAGTTTTCATGCATCTGGTTTCACTAGCTGGTTGGTTGGTTTGTTGTATAACGCCACTCTCAGCAATATTCCAGTTATAAGGTGGGGGTCTGTATATAATCGAGTCTGGACCAGATAATCCAGTGATCAACTCATATGAGCATCGATCAAACAACTGGGATATGATTATATGTTTTGACCAAGTCAGCAAGCCAGACCACTCAATCCTGTTAGTTGCCTCTTACAACAAGCATGGGTTGCTGAAGATCAATTCTGACCCGCATCTTCACGGTCTGGTAACGGTAGAAAGCTTTGTCCAGGCTGACAGATAATGGTTAGCTCTATCTGACTCAGCAGACTTTGAATTCTGCCACTTAGTACTTTCATATCTTGCCATGGATGCTAAAATTCGGATTTCATTTCATCCTCTACTTTATGATTTCCAATTATTTGCATTTAAAGGAGTGGTGTTTCTGTACATGTACATGACTACCTGGAGATCCAACCCAGTGTGCTATAGCTATTGTACTGGACATCAGTAATGAATGGACTTGGTTATTTTAAGGCCATCGGAATACTGCTGAAGATATGTGAACATTTAACAACATTTATAGTCTGTTTGCTGTGAAAACGTACCGATGAATTTCACTTTAAACTAAAAAGTGAATCAAATAAAGTGAAAATAAGATTAGAACCTCATAATTTTACCTTGCCAAATGAGCATTTAAATCTCAGAATTTTATTCAACTTAGGATAATAGTTGTTTAACAAATGATCATAGATTCAAACCACTATTATTGATTTCTATTACAAGGGTATATGAGGAGTAGTTGAACAGTGAAACAAATGCATGTGCGGTAGGTGATGAGCATTAACTTAGACCAACCCTGCTTTTTCACATTGTTTCAATTTATGGTGCATACCCCTTGTAATACAAACCAACAATTGGCAAGGTAAAGTTATGAGGATTTGCAATCTTAATTTCACTTTATTTGATTTACTTTTTTGTTTAAAATGAAATTCATCAGTATGTTTTCACTGCAAACAGAGTATGCATCATTCAGTTTGAGGATGATGAGGAAGATTTTACCAGCACCTCAGGAGGATCCCGTTTCTCAGTGCACAATTATGTTGTCCCTGCAGTGATTAAACATATTGATATTTCTGGCTATATATCTCTGACTTTAAGAATTAAATTGCTAGTGATTACATGGGATCTCTTCAGCTGACCAAGCCATTTTGTTTGTGTAAATGTTTCATAAACCAGAACAGCAAAAATTGGCATAATACTTTCTGATTGCCTTATAATAAAACGGTTAGGTTTTGGGTTGTCTTTTTGTCTCTTGTTTCATGTTGTTGCTTTAGGTTTTTGTGGGGCGGTGGGGTAGCCGAGTGGTTGAATCGGTCGCTCCTTACACCGAAGGCCGAGGTTTGATTTCCCACATTGGTACAATATGTGAAGCCTATTTCTAGTGTCCCCCACCTTGATATTGCTGGAATATTGCTAGGGGGGCGTAAAACTCAATTCACTCATTGGTTTTCATGTTCATGATGTAGTCAGCAGCCTATGCAGTATCTTTAATGTACTTATTCATGAGAACTGACTTGAGTACAGTTTTCAGTTTATGGAGGCACAAAAGAAGAATACAAACGTGTGCACACATACATACATTTTCACAGTGTACTTACATAAAACCAAAACAAGAGCTACAGAAAACGTTTTGGGTTGTTGAGTTTACATCACTCACTTCTGTTCATCTCAATTTTGGTATCCTAATTTTCCTTTGGGTAACCCAATAAATTGTACTCACCTCACTCAAACTCAATTGGGTATTTTGCAATTTTCCATTAATTTTGAAAATATTATAAAGATTAAATGTTAGTGTTTGTTATTTATATTTGGTCTGTGATATGAGAAACGATAAGAAAGACTGCAAGTTGTCATGTTCATGTCTTGAAATAGAACCTCTCAATATACCTCAGTTATGTTATCTATCCACTGGTAAGATTTGACTTTTTTTAGTGTGTATGTTAGATCACATTTATTGAGTATTTACAAAAATTCAAGTGTACTTGTACGCAACGGACTTAATAGAAATTGAGTTTTCACATAAATATAAAGTATAAAGTATATTCTTAAGTGAGCATTTATGTCTGACAGAGACAACAGATACCGTCTCCAGAAACATCCGTGATGTTCACAAGACTTGACTCCGAGAGGAACGCCAAGATAATGAAGAAAGCTGTATTGGACGACAGACTTGGAGCCGAGAGATACAAGGTGAGGTTGTCAGCCTTGAGGTCAAGGTTGCCGAGGAAGGTCAATGTAACTGAGAGAGGTCAGGGATAACGTTCAGATGTGTCTCCCATCGTTATGGCGCCTCAGTTCATGCCATGCTGCTGACGCAGTTCGTTCCTTACAAAAGTGGGCCAGTCATATACAACGAAACTATTTTGTATAAATTTCGGATCTGTTAGTGAAATACAATTAATATCAATAGATGACAAAGGTCACACTAAGGTCAGATTTGAAGAATATTGGCTAAAGGTCAAGATCAAGGCTATACTTTAATTGTTGCAAATGACGACACAGTATTCCTAACATTCTGTCTGATTGAGAGTAAATATATTTGTGAATTTTTTGGTTGTATTGTGTGGATGTATGATGACCTTCAAAATAGGTTTGATGTTTGATCTGCAGGTGCCTTTAATATAGCAGAAACCTAACAATACTTCCCATGTTAGATACCATTTAAAAACTCATTAGATAAAAGGTAGAATATTGCTAACACTGGTGTAAAACTAAACTCACTCACTCTCTCACTCTGATGTGCAGGATGCAGTGGGTCAGATGAGCCAGTACGTGAGTCTGCCGGCCCAGAGACTCGCCCACCTTGCCAGGAAGTACATACACCATTGTCGCATGAAGGCCATAGAAGGTGAGACCAGCAGCAACAACTACAACAACAATAATCATATCTTAATAATAATAATAATAATAAGGGCATTTGTAATGCTCTGAATTCCGCACCACAGAAGGGCACGCTCAAAGCGATGCAATCTGATTATTATTACCCCGGTTAACCCAAGCTGCCTGTGAGGTGCTAGAAGGTTAATAGGCACATGACTTATCCCACCGGGTACCCATTTTCAGCTGGGTCCCAGAGGCAAGTTTGAACAAACTCAATTGCCTAAGGTGAGACCACATGTATCACATGGGCTTTGTTGTGGGGCAGGACATGATGGCATGGCTAGTTGCTTTTATTACCGCCTGTGCCATGTCTGTGGCTTTACCTTGTGGTCCAGCCATGGTACGACCCTGAACATGTCCAGGGCATCATGGGAAATCATGCTTTCACACTTCTTCGGAATAGGGCCATATACAGCCTTAGAAATGTCCTGCCAGTAACCCTGATCTTGTCCTTTTTGATAAAGTCAATGAATTTCTTTGAATTTTCTCTACCTTTTGAGAGCAATGTGATTGACAATGTTCTAGATAAGCATGATAAGTATGAGGGCCTCGCCTTTGAAAGGTCTCGCTTGCATCCCAAGTACACTGTCGTCAAACTCACCGATTTTCTCAATGCCCTTGGGTTTGGTACCTCCTGATCTCTTGGCCCAGATCAGGAGAGTGCCCGGGTTCTCCACCGGGAGCACAGCCTTTCTGATTCTCTGGGTAATGCAGAAGGCTGCATTTTTTGCGAGTTTCCATATTCTCCAGGAAGTTTTTGTGGGTTCAACTAGGCACACTGAAGGTGAGCATTACCAGCCTGACTGAGCCAGGATCACCCAAACCCTCTCTGCTACATAGTATGAAGCATAATGATAATCAGAAGAAATAAATAAATTATTGTGGTCACCATCAATGATTTTGTTTATTTCAGAGAATGTAAAGAAGAGTGAGAGCCTGAATGAAAATGTTTTCGAAGTGCTGGACAAGATGGAGGCTCTTCAAAATGAGGTATGATCCTGCTCCTCTGTAATCATGTTTACAAAGACCACTCACTGGTCCAGAAGTTGGTCACAGGGTTCAAAGAAGAAGGATCTTTATATGGCCTTTATGTAGAACATAGATCTCTGAAGGGTCAGGACCCGTGAAGGTCCGGGTTAGAATATTGATCTTCAGTAACCCATGCTTGTCGTAAGAGGTGATTAACAGGATCAGGTGGTCAGGCTCTCTGACTTGGTTGACACGTCATCGGTCCCAATTGCGCAGATCGATGCTCCTGCTGTTGATCACTGGATTGTCTGGTCCAGACTCGATTATTTACAGACCGCTGCCATATAGCTGGAATATTGCTGAGTGCGGTGTAAAACTAAACTCATGATCACTCACTCACTGTAGGGTCATTGTGTGTCTGATCTGTTTTTTTTATGTCTATGTAACGTGTGGATTAAAATGATACTATCAAAAGAATTATCTGCCCTTATTTCTGTCTGTCAGTGTAAGTAAGTTAGCAAAATACAATTATGCTGTGGACAAGATTATTTGCAGTTATATTATCTATCCGGTGACAATGACACGCTTGTGTTCCAGCGAGCGAGAAAGTGGGCGGAGCACATGGACGACATGGGTGCGGAAAGACTGAAGCTGGCCAACATGTTGATGGAGACGCTGGACTCCATTGAACAGGAGTCGGACTCTTCCTCATCAAACCCATGTACTCCTTCAGGGGGAGGTAAATATAAAACATGTGGAGTATCTGCCTCAACAGATTCCATTTGGCTTTAAAGACAAACTGTCAGTATATGAATGGATCATGGAATGCCATTGATGAAACCAGGTGTTTCGTGAAAAGAGTAAGCTTGTCATTCCGTAATGGTAGCAATGGATGCTCATACAATTCATAACCCGTGAAGGTCCAGGTTTGAATGAACTGTGAGTTACCCACACTTGTCGTAAGAGGCACCTAACGGGATCGGGTGGTCAGGCTCACTGGCTTAGTTGACACATGTCATCGGTTCCCAATTGCGCAAATCGATGATCATGGTGTTGATCACTGGATTGTCTGGTCCAGATTCGATTATTTACAGACCGCCGCCATATAGCTGGAATATTGCTGAGTGCGGCGTAAAACTAAACTCACTCACTCACTCATACAATTCATATTAAACATTAAGTTTTCGTTGCTTGATGTCGCACAACAATTCTATTATCATGCCTGCACTATTCCACAGGTAGTGAGGGTCGGTGGGGTAGCCTAGTGGTCAAAGTGTTCGCTCGTCACGCCAAAGGCCCTGGTTTGTTTCTCAACATGAGTACAATGTGTGAAGCCCATTTCTTGTGTCCTACAACGTGATATCGCTGGAATATTGCTAAAAAACATACTCAATCCCCCTGTCACTGTGATATGGCATTAAACTTCACTCACTCTCAGGCAGTGATCTTGACCCCTTTACTCCTATATTGTTATTTATGTGTTTGAATGGACATTATTATTGTCGTAATCCTTGAATTGCACCCAGGCATAACTGTAAAAACCAATGATCTTCAACATTGTCAGAATTCCTTTGAGTTTGTACTTACATTGTTAAATCATCATGATTCTATGATGTTTGCATCCAATTTTGCATAAGGACATTATGTAGAATTATCATATATTTCTAAGAAAGCACAGTTTTTCTTTTGATGTGATCAATGTCTTGAAAGGACTTAAATGGAATAGGTTTTGAAAGTGGTAACTTATTGGGGAACATGAATGGCCCTCTGGGCTAGATTCATGCAATTTACTGAACATAGTTGCATCCCTTGATAATCATAGTTGCATCCCTTGATAATCATAGTTGCATCCCTTGATAATCATAGTTGCATCCCTTGATAATCATAGTTGCATCCCTTGATAATCATAGTTGCATCCTAGCTGCACCACGATCTGTTGGTCACATGCCGGTAGAATAATGGTGATGGTAGTTGTAGAATCTTGTCTATCTTCCCCAACAGAGAGATGAAGCAGAAGTATGTTGGGAAGTTGTCCCGTCCAGGCCGACCCCTTCGAGCCTCCCCCATCCGTGAGACGGTCAGTTCCATGGCTCCTGCTCCAACCCCCTCCTCCCACATCAGACCCCTTGATGGCAGTCGGGCATACCACAAGGTGAGATGACCTTTCATAGATGAACTTACAATCCTTGCTCCCTAACATGGTGCTGTGTACACATATTGAGAACCTGTCAAGATTCCGATGAGAATTGGTCTTCAGCAACCCATGCTTGTCATAAGAGGCGACCCGTGAAGATCTGGGTCAGAATTGGCCTTCAGCAACCCATGCTTGTCGTAAGAGGCGACCCGTGAAGATCTGGGTCAGAATTGGCCTTCAGCAACCCATGCTTGTCGTAAGAGGCAACCCATGAAGATCTGGGTCAGAATTGGCCTTCAGCAACCCATGCTTATCGTAAGAGGCGACCCGTGAAGATCTGGGTCAGAATTGGCCTTCAGCAACCCATGCTTGTCATAAGAGGTGACCAGTGAAGATCTGGGTCAGAATTGGTCTTCAGCAACCCATGCTTGTCGTAAGAGGCAACCCATGAAGATCTGGGTCAGAATTGGCCTTCAGCAACCCATGCTTGTCGTAAGAGGCAACCCATGAAGATCTGGGTCAGAATTGGCCTTCAGCAACCCATGCTTGTCGTAAGAGGCAACCCATGAAGATCTGGGTCAGAATTGGCCTTCAGCAACCCATGCTTGTCGTAAGAGGCGACCCATGAAGATCCAGGTCAGAATTGGTCTTCAGCAACCCATGCTTGTCGTAAGAGGCAACTAGTGAGATTGGTGGTCAGACTCGCTGACTTGGTGGACACATGTCACCGTGTCCCAGTCGGGTAGATGCTCATGCTGGTGATCACTGGATTGTCTGGTCAAGACTCAGTTATTTACAGACTGCCACGTAGATGGAATATTGCTGAGTGTGGCATTAAACAACAAACAAAATATATGCTGAGGCTTATGGGGTACCCGGGTTGTTGTATTTACACTGATGTTGTGGAGATGTGTGTATTTCTGGTCAAACCATACATTTCTTTCCTAGTCAGGTTGTGATATGATATGATATCTTTCATATCATCATAGGATGTTGTGGGATATCATATCAGAATAATTACATAAGTGGTTAAAGCATCCATGTTCGTCATGCCATGACCCGGGTTTGAATCCCTACATGGGTACAATGTGTGAAGCCCATTTCTGGTGTCCCCGCCCCGTGATATTGCTGGAATATTGCTAAAAGCGTAAAGCAAAACTCACTCACTCACTCCATAGGATGTTGTGATATCATACACATCTCCATAGTCAAGAAAACTCTAATATCATACATATCTCCAGATTAAAGTTATATCATACATATCTTACAATAATGTTGTGATGTTCATATCTTTGTGGTTAAGGTGTGATACATGTATTCATACCATAGGTTTTGAAGTGAACCAAATTTGAAGCAGTGTAAGAAACTAAGGACATGGATAATTAATCTGTGTTACCATAGTTACTATTGTGTAACATCAGAATAATTACATAAGTACCTTAAAGTTCATCCTTGATGTTCGTCATGTTGAAGACCCGGGTTTGATTCCCCACATGGGTACATTGTGTGAAGTCCATTTCTGGTGTCCCCCGCCGTGATATTGCTGGAATATTGCTAAAAACAGCGTAAAAACATATTCACTCACTCACTCATCCTTGATGCTGAATGTTGCTGAATTGCTAGCATATATGTATAGCTTCAGTGTAAAATTCACAAATGTTCGATTTTTTCCAGATCAGTTCAGCGTCGACCACCTCCTCACGGCCGGAACCACTGCGCCCCCTGGAGGGAGACAGTGGAGGGGTGGCGGGGGCATCCATGTCGTGGGTGGGGCAAGCTCCTCGACAAACCTGGAGTGTAAGTACTTGCCTTCATCAGACAAGGACACTAAGAACAGCACACTGTTCAATTGCTACTTCATTTCACAAATTGTACTCCTGCATTTGAGACTAAACATGTTCTGTGCACCAAATTGAACTTGAACTTACGAAATCAACATCAACAGCCAAAAATGAACAATATAAGAAGTTGAAAAACGGTGACGTTGTCTGGAGACATCAAAGAAGCAGACGTATAGTTCTGATTAGTTCTGGTAGGGTAGCCTAGTGGTTAAAGTGTTCACTCGTCACGCTGAAGACCTGAGTTTGATTCCCCACATGTGTAGACTGTACAATGTGTGAAGCCCATTTTTGTGGGGTCCACCGCCATGAATTCCACTGGAATATCGCTATAAGCAGTGTTAAACCTAAGTCTCAGCATATACCTTTCCAACAGACTGCCTCCGCACCGCCTCCGTGGTGTAGTGGTTAGAGCGTCCGCCCGGAGAGCGGAAGGTCGCTGGTTCGATCCCCGGCCCCGTCATACCAAAAGATGTTAAAATATGGTACTTGTTGGTCCCTGCCTGGCGCTCGGCATTAATGGGTACAACAAGGACTGGTCGGCTCGGAGTCAGTATAATGTGTCTGAGTGGGGTATTCATGCTTCACTGCGGCATGGTATCTCAGTGGGCTAGCACTATAAAACCAGCTTCAGTCTGGGCTAGTACAAGCAGCCGCACATACACATACACACGCATGCACGTCGTCATATGAGCGAAATATTCTCAAGCACGACGTTAAACCCAATTTCACCTCACCTCACCTTTCCAACATGACAGAACAACCTCCATTTCACATCACCTGCCTATAACATGCAATTTACCCTGTTCAAAACCACATTTACACCATCACCATTTTTCTGATAAATTACCGTAAATTGATGTTTCAGTTTTCCTCATCTCATGCTAAACATGTGTCTGCTGACCCTCTAAGTCTGTACAACACTCCCAGGATACTAGAGCTGGATATAAACAGGATGCTGATTGGTCAGAACAACATCAGGTATAAGTCACAATGCTTTTGATTGGTCACTTCAACTTTTTATTGTCTTTAACTATTCATGTCTCTACAGGTGCTTTTTGTTTTCTTGTTGGGATATAATTTGGGTTATTTTGTAATGATGCAGAAGATGAAGTAAAAAAAATGATAAAAATATAATATACATTACAGACAATTGTATGTTCAAGATGGACTGATTTGGAAAAGTGATCACCTAGGAAAACATAATTTGACCTGTCACATTGGTCTGTAGTCTTGAACCTCCAAGTTTTGGTCTCGTCTCCATAGTTTCCTTTGTTAAACTGACCGGTGCCCCAGTGAAAGGTGTATCAATGACAGGACAACACCTTCTAACAAAAGGGACAACCTCCATGGTGTAGTGGTTAAAGTGTCCACCCAGAGAACTGAAAGTCGCAGGTTTGATCCTGGCCACATCTTACCAAAAGACGTTAAAATATGGTACTTGTTGGTCCAAGCCTGGCGCTCGGCATTAATGGGTACAACAAGGACTGGTCAGCTCGGAGTCAGTTTAATGTGTCTGAGTGGGATATTCATGCTTAACCATGGCATGGCAGTGTTTCCGTTCTCCGGTATATACCTGAAAATCGCCGGTAAAATTTGTTTGGGACACTGTGTCCGTAAATAAATGTATTAAAATGGAAAGCCTTGGCTGTGCTTTCATGGTCGCAAAAATTGTAATATTTCGGAAATACCCAGGCTAAAAATAACTTTAAAATGAGTACTTACAGTACGGTAATAGGATATGACCGGCAAATTTCATTCATGACTGGTAAAATTTTAGGTTGCCAGACACAGTGTCAGATAAATAATTTAGTCAGCGGAAACACAACATGGTATCTCAGTGAGCTAGCACTATAAAACCAGCTTAAGTCTGGGCTAGTACAAGCAGCCACACATACACACGCATGCACGTCGTCATATGAGCGAAATATTCTCAAGTACGACGTTAAACGCCATTTCACCACACCATCTAACAAAGGAATCCATAGAAGAAGGGCACAATAGTTACTAAGTACAGCCCCGAACATGTATCAAGAATATCCTGTTGAGGCAGCCACTGCAGTACATGGATATAGCACATGTAGAGCGACTGTTGTTTGTGGAGAGGAAACAATATAACCAAGCGATTCTAAAACATTGGAAGATCTGAACGTCTTTGTGTCCAAAATACATTCATTGAAATTAATTTAAACACAAATGAGGTCTAAATCTGCTGTATATCTTCGGTGTATATGTGTCAATATCCCAACAGTTTTGGACCCATGAAGATCCGGGTTAGTATTGGTCTTCAGTAACCCATGCTTGTCATAAGAGGTGACTAACAGGAGGTGAGGTGAAATTGGGTTTAACGTCGTGCTTGAGAATATTTCGCTCTAATGACGACGTGCGTGCGTGTGTATGTGTATGTGCGGCTGCTTGTACTAGCCCAGACTGAAGCTGGTTTTATAGTGCTAGCCCACTGAGATACCATGCCGCAGTGAAGCATGAATACCCGACTCGGACACATTATACTGACTCCGAGCCGACCAGTCCTTGCTGAACCCATTAATGCCAAGCGCCAGACAGGGACCAACAAGTACTACCATATTTTAATGTCTTTTGGTATGACGCGGTTGGGGATCGAACCCACAACCTTCCGCTCTCCGGGCGGACGCTCTAACCACTACACCACGGAGGCGGTCCGACTAACAGGATCAGGTGGTCAGTGTTACTGACGTGGTTGACCCATGCTGCTTAGATTGATGCTCATGATGTTGATCCCTCGATTGTTGATTGCCGTCAATGCCAAGCATGGCTTAAACAATAAACAAAGAAACTAAAACACTGGTCTGAACCTGTTCAGTAATTCATAAAATCTTCCATTGGTCCTCAGTTCCCGCCTTCCCCTGCCAATGACTGAGGACAGACTGGTCAATGCTTCACAAAACAACTTGCGGTCGTATGTGACGGTCAACCGTCCTGTTGCCACGCCAACCACCACCACCACAACCTCCAGTAGACCAAGATCAGCCTCAGGTCTGTTCAATAATCAAATGTTGAATAACTCATCACTGTGATTCTGTTAACCCTACCAGGGTGGTGGGGTGGCCTTGTGGATAAAGGGTTCTCAGTCACCCAGAGGCTCGGGTTTGAATCTTCTTCACATTGATACCATGTGTGAATTCCATTTTTTGTGTTTCATGTTCAAATTGGGCTAAAGAAATTCATCCTGTGACAGAACAGACATTTCTCAGGCATAGATTTTGTGTTTTTATCCTCAAGCAAATATGTTTCAGTTCTGGTTCATTGGAAAGAAATATTATCATTATGATAGAGAAACATGTTACACTGCTCTGTCAGCAGCTGGCAGCAAAGAAGTTGGAAGATGCTTCTAGGGGCGGGGGCGTAGCTTGATCGTTAAAGTGTTAACTCGTGAATACCCGGGTTCGATTCCCATCATGGATACAATATGTGAAGTCAATCTGTAGTATCCCCTGCTGTGACTCCGAGGTTATGGTTGGGAAAGTAAGTCCCGAGACCGAGGTCTTACTTCTCTCCACCCGATGGTCAAGGGCTTACTTTCCCAACCATAACCGAGGAGGAGTGCTTTATTATACATATAATCCGTCAATGATGGATAATTAGATGATCATGTAATGAAGCTACATAACAGTAACTGGAGTGCTAGTAAAATCAATTGAATGACAGTAGGCCTAACTATAAATAGATAATTCAACTTTTGTTCTTTGTCGGCCTGGTGGCTGTGAGTGAGGTAGAGCGTCCACTTATGAATCTGAAATATATGGTTCCAATCCTGCTAGGGAAAACATTTGCAAATTTAAGTTGATCTTTGGCGATATTTTTCAATTAATTTCAAACACTAACATATCATCTGAATTTGAATGTTGATGTTAATATAGAGTTAGGAAAAAGTAAAACCTGGGAAGAGGTCTAACTTACAAATAGTAAAACCGGGAAATTGGTCTGAATTACGAAAAGTAAAACCTGTGAGCAAACAAAAACCTCGGTAATTCCAGGAAAAGAAGCCATGTCTAATATATAGTGAGAAGCAGCATTCAGGTTTATATTGCTGGAATATTGGAGCAAATGGCATAAAACTAACTCACTCACTTTAATTTTTCTTGCAAGACCTGTTTCGGGTGCTTAGCTATGTTGTGTCTCAAGGTACAGGCTGCGGGGCGGTGGAGTAGCCTAGTGGTCAAAGCGTTTGCTCGTCCTGCCTAAGACCCGGGTTCGAATCTCCACCTAGGTACAATGTGTGAAGCACATTTCTTGTGTCCCCCGCCGTGATATTGCTGGAATATTGCTAAAAGCGGCGTAAAACCCAACTCACTCCACTCAACTCCACTCCACAGGCTGCATTCATTCCCCATGTCATATTGCTGACTCCAGTGTTAAACTCTGTCAACAGGAACTCACCGTGACTCCGTCCCCCCAACCACCCCGCAGCATCCCTCCAGTGCTGGGATGAAGAAGGTGCGACTGTCAGACACCGAAATGGAGATACCACGGTCCCTCCGCCACCCCCGGAGTCCCCCTCTACCCCCAATAGGAGGAACAGGTATCATACACAACATGACAATATATTCTGTTACAGTTATAGAATAGAATAGAATAATACTTTAATGCCTTTTCAGGAATTTGTGTTACAAATGGAAGGAAAATGTTACAATACTCTGAATAAATGCTACTTAAAAAGATGACATCACAGATGGGTTAACATTAAAAGCTCTCAGTTTACGCATGAGATGAAGACGTTGTTGACACTTTTTGTATCTGTCCTTCTTTAATAATTTCTTGCTCAGACGATGTCTCTAAAATGAATAGGAACTCATCCACGAATGCACACACACAGAAAAGGTTGTCAACTAGTGCCTTTTGATATTTAGGAATTTTTAGTATTTTTTTTGCACGTAACCATGGCAACAGGACCTGGAATATTGCTAAAAGCAGCATGAACCTAAACTCACTCACTCTTATCTGTTCCACCTTTTCATCAGAACCTCCCCAGAGTCCGTCAGGGTCGTCCATTCGCCAGACTCCACCAACCAGAGATGTCGACACAACAACAGCCGAAGACAAGACCTTGACGCGGGAATCATCACGGCTCACATCCACATCTATATCAGAGGATTAATGGATTCTTTCACAAATCTGTCACCTTAGTAGTGTGTCTCCGGTAAAATCAAATCCCCAGATATTAATCTGTGAGTGACTCCATGGGATTTGTTTGGGTAACCGGCAAACCTTTGGCTATATATTTCCATAAACAGACAACGGACTGCTGTCAACTTAATGGCTGATATGGTGGGCAAAGATTGGGTTGCATGTAAAGTCTGCACGCAAGTGTTTAGGCTGATACTAGGGCTGCAATGTTTCCACGATGAGTCGAATATGATACATGTCACGAATATTGGGTAACAAATATGAATATTGGGAAATTATAAAACAATGACTTATCAGTTGACACATCATTCAGTATTTTCATTGATACAATAGCAGAATAAATGCTTTATCATGTTTTGACCATGGTGATGGTGTTAGGTTACCGTGACAACGACCAGTGGCGTCATTAATGTCAAATTTATTATAGAAGATTGTTAAGTGTAATCCTGCCTGGCTTGAGGATGTTCAGTGTTGAATATCTTGCTTTAACTCTCAAGTTTAAGTAAAAACTCTCGCTTTGACAAATAACACCCAAGTTCAAGTAAAAATTCTCACTTTGACAAATAACACCCAAGTTCAAGTAAAAATTCTCACTTTGACAAATAACACCCAAGGTCAAATAAAACGACTCCTTTCAAAAGTTCATGAATATTTGATTCTAGTGATCATGATTAATGAATTGAATTCATGAAAGTTTAGGGTTCAATTCACTAAATACATGAGTGAACTGTAACAGCCCATGTTGATACCATATAAAATTCAAACAATATTGAAGTCAATTCTTAATTGTTTCAAATGTTACATAATCTGGCATGATGTACATTGAATGAATTTTCATTACTATATTATCCATATATGCTGTCCCAGTGTGTTTCATGAAGTGAAGTTCAAAAGACTTTCTTTTTTTAACTTCTTTTAAATCAAAATGTAATAATCATCTAAGAATAAAACTTCAGTCTTTTTTTTCGCACTTTCCAATTCACAGAAACTGACCTTAAAAATTAGTTTGAATGTAAAGTGTTAGAAGTTATGATGTGTGATGAAAATGTTTCTTTAAAGAAATAATGTAAGGCCAGACCAGTTTTATTTCTTGTTTTACAGATCCACCGGTCGTATTTTTTAAAGAATAAGAAAAAATTATAAATTATTTTTCCCCACTCAAAATAAAATCCTAATGTTAAGATACACGGAGTGAGACTTCAACTATGCAATGCAGTTTGTTTTACACTAAAACACTGGTATCTGTTCTCAGAGACTTTAAACTGAATTATCTAACAATATTTATGTTAGAAATCAGCGAGTGTGAACTTGAAAAACAATGCCTTTGAAAAACTCATGTGGGTTTTTGCTTTGACTGGTGATATTTTTTTCCCTCCTGCCTTTAAAATAGGTTTTCTGGGGACAAAAATTCGTAAAACCAGAAATAAAATTGGTCTGGCCTAATGTAAATAATGATGAATGGTCATGTTATCATTACCCAACTGTTACAGTATTATAGACATGTAGTCCTTGCACAACTTGAAAAACCACTTACAGTGTGTGTGATATGGTATTCATTATGCAATATTGTTACGTGCACTTTTAGTATCAATTATATTTGATACTGTAGGTCACTTCAAAGACATCATTATCTGACGATGGTACTGCTGTCATTTCTTGACAGTTGAAAAGTTTCTGAACTGAATTTAAATGTTGAGGGGAACATTACAGTATTCCGAACACATCCTGGTCAATTATAGCCATGATGCTAGGCATGCAAGGCCTGAAAACTATATTTGTTATTTATGCAAATGAGATGTTGAATATATATGCAAATTATGTCTGTTTGTTGTGTGTTTGTTTGTGGTAGCACAGTAACATGTAGATATTCTAAAAGTGTTAAAAAAATGTTATGTTGGAAGTTGTTGAGCACTAATTTGTTGTTATGAAAAAGCCATTGTGATATTTTCTCCCAAAACATTAATATGTTGTACACACTGAGTGATGCTATCCACAAAATGTTATGGGAATTAGATAAATCATTCGATATTCTTGCAGGAATTCATTTGTATCCTTGCTGATCCTAAAATGCTTTGCCTCTCAAGTACCATTTCATGAAGGTTTTATTCTAAAGCCATTTATTTGATACTTTACCAATCTAATCTCGGTTCACACAGTTACCACTGCAGAGTTCTTCGTATTTAGATTGGCTACACCAGAGCAGTGTGTGAAGTAGCCACTGGCCTGCTAGCCCATGGCTAGTAAAAATCCAGTCGGGCCAGTGAATCCATGCTGTTACTGGCCCAACTGGCTAGTGAAGTTTGGGGGTCTTTTTTAAATATATCACTCTCTCTCTGACTTGTTAAGTTATAATACACTTTTAAATCATGCATGATTATGGCCTGATAAAAATGTTCATCATATTGGCAGCTTAATGATGAAATCTGTGTCGTGCCGACAATATCTTATTCTCACTTATTTTTGTAATATTTTGCTTAGTTTCTACATTCAAATTTCGGGCCAGTGAATTATTTTGTGGGCTAGTAACTTTCAGGCATAGCTAGCCCGACTGGCTAGCAAAATTTGGAAACTATTTTGCACACTGTACCAGAGTAACCGTAACAGGATCTGTTGCGCCTCGAAAACAAGGCATGCAACTCTTGAGCTACCATCTTTAAAAGACTAAGGGAAACAACCCTGGTTCTGTTACCTCTGAGAAGAGAAGTAACGTTGGATGTATTTTCCTCCGCAATACCTGGGGGAATAACTCTGTATCTGTTGCCCCTCAAACACAAGGCACGTAATTCGGGATCTGATTATTTTTTTACACTGGGGAATAAGAAACAACCCTGGATCTGTTACCTGAAAATACCAAGGGAAGAAACTCTGGACCTGTGTGTTAGTTCAGCAGATCCTTCTGAGAGAGTGTGTACAATGTTGACATTTGTGTCTGGCATTAAGATATCGAGCATTTTGTACAAGATATTTCCGTCCAATTTTAGAATGAAAGTGTTTCTTAGAAGAAGTATTATAGATTTTGTTCTAAAGCTATAATCAAATGAATACTTATATATATTTTGTCATCTCTGAAGTAAAACTGGTTTTGAAAAATGTGTTTTGTTAGTTATTTGCCTGTACATATCATTGGCAAATATCCTTCAGCTAAATTTCTTATTTATGCTGAATCACATTTTCTTCCTACGAAGATATGACAAGTAACCTCTGTGGGAAGAGAAGCTGAATTCTAGAATTTGGATCATTTTGATCACATTTAGCTGATATGCATTGATATACAACCAGGAATGCTATCAAAACAGCATTGCACTAAACACAGTATTCATGCTATGATCAGCATAGTTACCAGGGGCGTAGCTAGCTACCATTATCAAAAAACAGGTTTTGCTGTACAAGCCCACAAAACTATCTAAACATAAAGCTTTGCAACCTATCGGGCTTACACGAAATAAATGGCTTGCTACGCGCCTGGTTACGTCCCTTTGCTTGGGCAGTATCTGCTGGTCATCGGAGAATCCCTGAAACACTTTTGTTCAGGTATGGCTATAAGTGTTTATTTCTTGATCCCGGGATATTGTTATAGGGCGATAGGGTAGCCTAGTGGTTAAAGCGTCCACTCCTCACGTCAAAGACCGGGGTTCGATTCCATGAGTCTAGGTCAAAAGCCCCTCGACCAAAAGCCCCTCTGGGCAAAACCCCACGAAAAATGACCAAAAGCCGCTATCTTAATGTATTAATGGGTTACTAAGATTAAAGATGAGACATGATTAATGGAGTGAAAACAAGGAAATATTTATTGCTTCATAATAATGACCCTAAATATTACAGAGCTACAGATAACTTTTGGGGTCATTGAGTTATGTACTCACTTGTGTTCATCTCAATTGGGTATCCTAATTTTTCTTTGAGTAACCAAATAAATTGTACTCAGCTCACTTAAACTCAATTGGTTTTTTTGCCATTTTCCATTAAATTTGAAAATATAGTGAAGTTTAAAAGTTATTTTTTGTTATTTATATTTGATCTGTAATATGAGAAACGATAAGATAGGATGCAAGTTGTCAAGTTCATGTCCTAAAATAGAACCTCTCAATATACCTGAGTTATTTTATCTATCCACCGGTACACAAGCTAAGATTTGACATCTTTGTGTGCAGGCATGTAAGATAACATTTATTGAGTATTTACAAAAATTCAAGCGTACTTGTACGCAATAGACTGAATAGAAAATGAGTTTTCACATAAATATTTGCGTAATTTACGCAGATACGCAGCTTATCTGTACCTCTGATAGTATATAAGTTCAAGTGTAATTAGCAAATAATTTTAGTGAATAAGAAATAAATATAATGAAACAAATGATAACAAATCAACACGGAATGATTGATGACATAAACAATTGTATTTCATCATAATTAATGTTTAAACAAATCAACACAACCTGAATGCTCTATACTGTCGTACAGTATGCCAACGGGGGGCAGTGGGGTAGCCTAGTGGTTAAAGCGTTGGCTCGTCACGCCGAAGACCCGGGTTCGATTCCCCACATGGGCACAATTAATGTGTGAAGGCTATTTCTGGTGTCCCCCGCCGTGATATTGCTGGAATATTGCTAAAAGCGGCGTAAAACTCAACTCAGTCAGTCAGTCAGTACCAACGGTACAGGCAAGAACGATGCCAGTACTGGCCCAGTTATGTGATGTTAGCTCGTAATGACCCTAAATAATATATAAATTCAAATTTAATTATCAAGTAATTTTAGTGAAAAAGAAATAAATATTATCAAACAAATCAACAAGAAATGATTAATGGCATAAAAAATTGTATTGCATCATAATTAATTATTAAACAAAGACCACAACCTAATGAATGTTGGTTTTGCAAAATACCAATTGCATTTATAGGTTTCAGACCTTCCGAGTAAGAAATTATCACATTTTCTCCATTTCCTTTACATTGATACAAAAAATACTTAAATTTGTTTATAAAATATAAAAGAGAAATGAGAAAAGTTATCATACTTTATAAAATACTTTTTCCTCAAAATACTGTATAAAATATTTAAGAGCAATGAGAAATGTTAATTCTTTTATGAAATACTTGAATCGAGGGGAATAGTAAGGATTACCACGTTCAGAGATGATTGGACAAAACCTATTTTAGATAAATCAGATTGGTTTCCCGTCCAGGGTGTGGTAAGACTTAACGGTTTGGTTAGAACGTATTGATTGGCTATTCTCGGTGCACAGACACTTTCGAGTATTATAGGTCAGGGGACGGCTTTCGAAGCGCAGAAAGCACATTTTGACAGGGGTGTTCAAAATTAGCGAGGGGCTTTTAGTCGGTACTCGATTCCATTCATGGGTACAATATGTGAAGCCCATTTCTGGTGTGCCCTGCCGTGAGATTACTGAAATAGTGCTTGGAGCGGCGTAAATCTAAACTCACTCGTTCTTTTTATGTTCATGAAATAGGTCTGACTGTTTCTGCTAGTGGACTGAAATCACCCAGAGCTTCGTCATAGTCTCAGGCTTTGTCTGTGTTGAGTCACCAACGAATGAAATGTTTGGACCGAGCAAATAAACTTCCTTCTCTGGCCCCTACCCTAACTACACACATTGTTTTGCGAAACCAAGGTATATTTCAAATATTCATCTTTATTTACAGACAGCAGAACCGGCACACTTGTACACTTGATACGTAATTCAAAATTAACGTGGCGTTTTTGTTCCTTTCAACAACATCGGTATATACACTAAAGTGTCGGTGTGCTTTCTGGTCTGAAAATCACTTGATTATGTGCTTCGTTTTCAGCACGGCGTGGCATGGCTGAGGTGTCGGGCAAGACTTAATTAGTGAGGTGTCGGGCAAGACTTTAGTGAGGTGTCGGGCAAGGCTTAATTAGTGAGATGTCGGGCAAGGCTTAATTAGTGAGGTGTCGGGCAAGGCTTTAGTGAGGTGTCGGGCAAGGCTTAATTAGTGAGGTGTCGGGCAAGGCTTTAGTGAGGTGTCGGGCAAGGCTTAGTTAGTGAGGTGTTGGGCAAGGCTTTAGTGAGGTGTCGGACAAGGCTTTACTGAGGTAATGAGGTAACTGCCAGTTCACCTGATGAAGGGACCTGGAATGGTCTCGAAACGTCGTGAGAAAAATTAAAAAGAAGTTTAATCCATAAAAATATTTTCGACATCAATGTACAACTTCTAAATGCCACTGAAAGACAGCATGAGCATCGATCTGCGCAATTGGGAATCGATGACATGTGTCAACCAGGTCAGCGAGCCTGACCACCCGATCCCGTTAGTCGCCTCTTACGACAAGCATAGTCGCCTTTTGTGGCAAGTATGGGTTGCTGAAGACCTATTCTACCCCGAATCCTCACGGGTCTCGTTCAACCTGTAGTACAGTCCGTTTGAGTCAGAAACAGACCGATGAATTGCAAATTTTATCATTGTACAAAATTGCCACATAAATATAAATAGTACACATGTTTATCATTTACTAATACCCAACAGCTTCCTTATATTTGAAAATTTTCCGGACTCCACCAAAAAAGTTGTTTAAAGGTCACATGCAACGTAAAACACAACTTTGCAGATTCTGATACCTTTCGGTATGGACATACCGAAACAAATCGTCAAAAATGCAAATTCAACTTATAAAGTTGAAAAATAACGCGATGAAAAAAACCGCGCGAAATCGGAGTTCAAACGTTTCACTAATTTTCCCCAGACTTTTCTGGGGAAAACGGGTTTCAACAGCTGGGCTGCGCTCATAGCACGTATGCAAGTAAATAGGTTCGCGCAGCTTGGAAGCGGGTTGTCGGGTGAACACTCGGTGAAGGCTTTGGTGTGAGCTATTTTTCTAATGTTTTGTTGATATCTCACAGGCGCGAGCTTTTTATATTTTAAAATTAACTGTTTATATAATTTCATGT